AGCAGTAACGGCAGAAAATGTGTGGACTTCTGAAATGTTGGTGCAAGAAGACTCACGAATCACATATACGGACATCTAAAAAGATTGTAGGCATTAGCATTCGGGGAGCATTTATACCATTCTACATCAACATCTTGGAGTGAGGAAGCTTTGTTGTCGATGGATCCCTCGTTTGCTCTCCCAAAAGCGAAAAACAGACTCATGTGGATTAGTGCCATAAAATGCGTCTACGTTTTGAAAACGAGGCATCTAGGCGTGTTTCAGAAATCGTTACTAGTGACTAGACATGGATCTATCAATATAATCCCAGAAGGACATTTACCGACAAAACTGCAAAGACCTCGCTACGTCGGAAAAAAATGGTGGCTAGTTATTTTTCGCGGAGCGGACATTTGTCGACGTCAATTCTGAAAAATTGTAGGTCAGTCAACTCTGAATGGTATACTACACTTGCATAACTCAAAGTTTTTCAAGCTGTGCGGAAGAGAAGACCAAAGAACGGGATTCGAGGAATTATGCTGCATCACGATAACGCCTCTTCACATACCTCCCTTAGAACAAAAGCATTTATTGAGGAATCTGGTGTTGAAACTCTAAGTCACCGAGCCTACAGCTCTGACTTAGCTCCTTGTAATTTTTTTTGTTCCCAAGAGTCAAAGAAAAAATAAAAGGCAAGTTTTTTTCAAGCGACGAAGAAGTCGTGAAGAAGCGACTTCCGACCTGTCAGATCAAGACTAGCAAAAGTGTTTTCAGAGTTGTTTTAGGCGAATGAAGCTTTATAAAGATCACGAAGGAGAATATTTTGAAAAGATGTAAAATAAGTATTAATAGTACGTAGAATAATTTTTGTATATCTCAAAACTTATTGAGTGTCCTACGTAGCGAGATACTGGGTGTTTTTGCAAGCATTCCAAAAAAGTTACGATTGGAAGTTGGTCTTTAACTTCATTTAAAAATATTTTATGTCAAGATTCCAATGAATCTGTAATCCTGTGAGGTACTCCTTTTATTTCAGCGTTGACCTTTCAAAAAAGAACTACCGATGTACATATTTTTATAGGTAAGTGATGTCTACTAAGTATCTTGAGCAAGTTTTATATATATATATATATATATATATATTCTTCATAGGGTCGTATAGGTAAAACCTTTTTTCAATAGATTCGAGCTTGAATTGGCTTGAAATAATTGAAGTAGAGCGAACAAATGTAAGGTCCGTTATAATACGCGGCACGTAAGTTGAACTATGACCTTGTATGCGCAGTAACACATTTTCGGGTCTCAATCGAAGTGCGGTATGAGGTGCGCCGCGAGGGGCCACGCGTAACCATAGCAACGTGGCGGCGCTAGACCCGACTAGTCGCACTTTCTCGCACCCGCGCACACCGCGCGGCCCAGGAGTACAATCGCGTACGAAGTTTTCAACTCTTTGACATTTATAATTCTGTCGATTGCATGATCATTTAATTTAATTTCAAAAAAAGATGTCTCGACCACAACCAACTTTAAGGAGACAGGGGAGAAGAATGATATTTGATGTTTATAATTATTTTTTAAAAGGAAATAATATAACTGATTCTCTGAATAAAACTGCGGAAGCTACGAAAAAGTCTGTATCCACAGTTAAAAGGATTGTTAAAGAAAATAAAATTTCAGAGTTTATAATTTTTTTTTTTTTTTTGGGAAAAAAAATAAAAAAGGGGAGGCACATGAAAAAGTTTATATTGTTGAGGTTACTTTTAGGACCCTTGGTAAAAAGAGGCAACGAATAAAGCCAGTCACAGGCATAGACAATTTTGACAAGGGGGTAATAAAACGGTGTATTCACAATTTTCATTTAACTGAAAACGAATCCTTGGTAAACTTCGTGCAAAATTACGTGCCGATATAAAATTTGAAGGTTCTGAAAAAAGTCTTCGTCGCATTATTAAGGAACTTGGATTTAAATGGAAAGCCACCGAGAATAATAGGAAAGTTTTAATAGAAACATCAGCCATCATACTGTTAAGAATAAATTATTTAGAAAAATTAAGACAGTATCGACAACAAAACAGACCAATTGTATACACAGATGAGTCATATGTTCACGCTACTCACACCACACCGAAAGTTTGGACAGATGGATCAAGTAAAGGAATAAAAAAACCCATATCAAAAGGGCAACGTGTTGTGATAGTACATGCCGGATCGGAGACTGGTTTTGTGCCTAACGCCTTGTTAACGTTCAAGTCAGCTATGAAGTCCGGGGACTATCACGACGATATGAATTTTGAGAATTATGAGAAGTGGATTCGAACTCAATTGATACTGAATCTTCCCCCAAATTCAATTATAGTTGCAGACAATGCATCATACCATAATAAGGAATATGACTTAGCACCAAACGCGAATTCAAGGAAAGCTGATATGCAGGCTTGGCTTTCAGAAAAAGGAATAACATTTACGTCTGAAATGTTGAAGCCTCAATTATACCTATTAATAAAAAATAACAAAGATCGCTTCAAAACATTTAGTATAGACAAGATTTTTAAAGAACATGGTCATGACGTACTTCGCCTGCCTCCCTACCACCCAGATCTGAACCCTATAGAAATGGCATGGGCAGCTATAAAGGGTTATGTAAGTAGCAAAAATGTACGATGGAATGTGCCCCGTGTTATAGAGTTAGTGAACGAAAAGGTAAATGCAATGGGACCATGTGATTGGAAAAAGCTATGCGACAAAGTTAAGACAATCGAAGAAGCTTATGTCAAAAGCTACCATGTCATCGATAAAATGACGGAAGAGTTTATAATACGGGTTGGAGATTCTGACAGCAATGATTCTGAATTGGATTCCTCAACTGACGTAGAAGATGAAATCGCAACTCCTGGCCCAAGTTCTGGTATACCACTAGGAAATTATATAGAAGGTGTCATGCCAATGAGTGAAAGTGATTGAACATGTAAGTAGATAAACAGATTAACTTTTTGATGTATTAAATTTTTATTAGTATTCTTTTAACTGTTCTATTTACCTAACAATCACAAATAAATCATGTAATAAGAAACACAATTATTTGAAAGAAAATCGAAATTATTTTTATGAAACTTCATTTTTTTTTAATTTAAATTACTTCTTCGACGACGACGAAAAACATCTCATTCCCGTGGGAAAATAGAATATGTTGCAAAAGTTTGTCTTTCTTTCGCGTCGCAACGGAGCGTCGGCGTGGCATGAATTTTGGTATGGGAATAGTTCGGTGGCTGTAGAGTGACATAGGCTACATTTTTCCGCGGAAAAACATCTCATTCCCGTAGAAAATATTCTATTTTCCCACGGGAATCAGGAATGCGCAACTTATAGAGAAGCATGTGAAGCTCTGCATCTTTTAGAAAACGATAATCACTGGGATGAAACCATGGAGGAAGCTGTGCAGTGCCAGTCACCAGCCAAAATTAGGGATCTTTATGCAACTTTCATATCATCTTGCGGGCTATCTAATGCACATGAAATGTGGGACAAATATAAAGAGTACATGGCGGAAGATATTTTGCGAAGGTTACAGCAGACACACGCGAACATGACATACATGTGTGGCACATCTTGGACGGAACATAATCGGTGCTACAATTTTGACAGGCATAGGAAAAGGTGAAAATGTTATTATACCACGGATCCCTACAACAAGCGGGGGTCAACTTAGAAAAACCGTGTTTCTCTCATGGTCTGCTGGAAGCTGTATGTAGCATGTTCGCGTGTGTCAAATGCCCAGAATCTCCACATTCTTTCCTGAATGGAAAAACATATAACATTATGTACAGTAGCGTCTTAACATAGTGTTCAGTTAGTTTTTTTTCCGAAATTCCCACAATCAATTAATCAGAATTCCCACAGATCTTCCCTTTCAATTCAAAATTTCCTATTTAGCTCAGTTTCTTTTCAATTCCAAATGCTGCACCTCTGATGGGCCTATTAAGCTCAGTTTCCTTTCAACTCAAAAGGCTGCATCTCTGAAGGATCTTTTATTTGGCTCAGTTTCCTTTCAATTCAGAAAACTGCATCTCTGACGAATCAATTTAACTCAGTTTCTTTTCAAAAGTCTGCATCCCTGACGGATAATTGTGCTCAGTTTCCTTTAATTAAAAAAATATCCCATTTCCATTTGGAATAAACAGGCTATTTTCATGCTTTCCTATACGCTGCGTTTCAAAACATTTAAATAGGCTGACGAATTAATTTTGCTCAGTTTCCTTTTAATGACTGCATCTCTGACAAATCTATAAAACTCAGTTTTCTTTCAATTCAAAAAGCAATGGATAGTTCATTTCCCAGTGACCATGCGGGCGAAGCCGCGGGTAACAGCTGGTATTCAATAAACTACCCATAAATATAAAATCTGAAGTAAAATTAAGTTCATTCAATAAAAAACTTCATGATTATCTTATTTCCAAATGCTTTTACACGCTCACTAAATTGTTTGATAGTTAATTACTAAGCAGTAAATTACTAAGTACTAAATAAAATTTTATTTTCAAAATAGCAAAATGTATGCTACTTTACATGAGCCAACTTGCATAAAATTTTATGTTGTAAAGATTATAATAATGTTACATAGTTATAAGTCTATTTAATTATTTTATTGTATATTTCTAGTATATTGCAACGCCCGACAGGGTCTATAATGGTCACTGTAACTGCTAATGTACTGTACATTATAGATGCAATAAATGATTTGAATTTGAATCTGGTGACCAATTCGGAAGCCAGCCGGGACCTTTGCGAGACGAACTCAATTCTTTTTGGCGCCACACTGGCCGTATTATAGGCGCCAAACTTTCCACAGCTGGACGCGCTACTGGACAAAGTAGCGCCATCCCAGCCTGGAGATTAAGAATTGAAGAAAGTATCGCAAAGGCTAAGGCCCTCATCGCCAGACTGATATGCTTCAGGTCAGGCAATAACAGGCCAAGGAATGTGCGCACCGTCAGGATGGCATTTGCTGATGGCAGCCGGATATAATGCAAAAACTGATGGAGCGCATAGACGATATGAAGCAGAGAATTGCTGCTTGGGGAAAGCGGATTCGGCGATATACCGAGAGATCGACACGGTTCAACCAGAATCGTGTCTTCCATAGTGATCAGAAGATGCTCTATAAATCATTGGAGCGACCAATGGTAAGTGGAACGGGCCCAGCACCGAATCAGGCCGACACTGTCGCATTCTGGCGCGGCCTGTGGTCAGAGCCCGTAAACCACAGCGAGGACCCCGGACGGAAGTTATGGCGAGCCAGTGTGCGAGTATTACGACGCCGGATGACGTAGCTGAGGCGGTCCGTAGAGCCCCGAACTGGAAAAGTCCGAGACTCGACGGGCTGCATCACTACTGGCTGAAGGGGTTCATGGTGTGTCACGCTGTGCTCGCCCGTCAGTTTCAAGAGGCTCTCAACCAGAAGTCGCTCCCTAGCCTCTTCACTACTGGGATCTGATACTCATTTGGTTCCTAAAGACCAGGTTACCACAGACCCGAGCAAATACCGCCCCATCACGTGTCTACCGACCATATACGAGACACTAACATCCATTTTGAGCGCGAGAATCACTTGTCACCTGGACTCAAATCAGGTGATGTCGCGTTCTCAAAATGGATGTCGGGGCGGTGGTCGTGGAACCAAGGAACCACTCCTCATTGACGCGGTCATTGGTGAAACGCAACCGTCGGAACTTCTCCGCCGTATGGATAGACTACAGAAAGGCATTCGACTCGGTTCCCCATACGTGGCTAAAGAGGGTCCTCGAGCTGTACAAGATTGACTGTACAGTTAGACTTTCTCGAGCAATGTATGGGACAGTTGAGTACGATCCTTTGTCATCTGGGTGAGCAGATGACGGCTGCGGCGGCTTTCCGCATAAGGATAAGAAGGGGTATCTTCCAGGGTGATTGTCTGAGTCCAACCTGGTGCTGGCTCTTTTTGAACCCTCTCATTACATTACTGGAGGGCTCCGGGAGGGAATACAAAAGTTATTCGCCTCCAGTCGCTCCCATCTTATGGAATTGCTACATATCACTTGTGAATTTAGCAGTTCTATTGGAATTGAAATTGAGCTGGGAACGGATAAGTGTGCGGTCCTCCATGTTGAAAGGGGAAGGGTTGCTAACTCTGAGGGCATAGACTTATCTATGCCCGTAAACTTAGGGACCCTTTCTGAGGAGGCTGAAACATAACGATACCTGGGTATGTCACAGAACATCGGTATCGATGAGGCTGGTATGAAACAGTCTGTTTGCGACGTGTTTTATGCACACTTGACAAAAGTGCTTAACATCCTTTTGGCCGGTGTGAATAAGACACAAGCATATAACGGTTGGGTCATGCCTATACTCCCTGGATAGAAAAGTCCGCACTACTATGACGTCCCATAGGATGCATGACCCGAGATCTTCGATTATGAGGCTGTACTTGCCGCGGGCGGAAATATGGTGGGCGTGGCTTATTAAGCGCGCTTACCATGCATAATCGTGAAGTGTGCAGCCTCCGTAACTACTTTCCGACGAGATAGGATAATCCATTCTATAGGGACGTCATTTGGTGTGATAAAGGGCTTACCCTCTATCCTTGGCCAACGAGCAATGGCAAGAACCGGCAGTACAGAGCATTTTTGACCGGGAGACTGTGTGGAAGGAGAAGGAGCTCCACGGAAGGTTCTACAAGGCTCTACATGAACCTTTCGTAGACACAGTCGCCTCCCTCAACTGGCTACGTTTCGGTGACCTCTTCGGGGAAACTGAGGGTTTTATCTGTGCGATACAGGATCAGGATCAGGTTAATAAGACCAACAATTATCGGAGATACATCCTAAAGGATGACACCGTCGACATCTATCGAGCTTGTCGCCATCCCGGTGAGTCATCTCCGATTGTTCGGCGCTTTCTAACTCTGAGTAGTTGCACAGGCACAACCTAGGTAGCCAGAATTCTACACCAGGAGCTCGCTCTGAAATACGGTCGGAAACTGCCGTATTACAAGTACTTGTCGGAAGCCATGTTCGAAAATGACCGCGCCAGGCTCTACTGGGACCGCGCCATCATCACAGACAGGACTATTCTTGCGAATAAGCCTGATATTGTGCTGATGGACCGGGCACAGTCAAGGATATTTTTGGTCGATATTACCATTCCGTATGACAGGAACCTCGTGAAAGCCGAAACAGATAAGCGAACAAAATATCTGGACCTGACTCACGAGGTGACCGACATGTGGGGTCGACCGAAATTATACCCGTAGTCGTTTCTGCAAACGGGCTAATCCCAGTCAGCCTCTCGGGTCATCTGAGGCGGCTGGGACTCTGTGACGGACTGCTCCGGGCTCAAATGCAGAAGGCGGTGGTCCCCGATACTGCCCGCATTGTCCGCCGCTTTCTTTCCCTTTCCTCCTAACCCTCGGCCGTTTGGTCTCCCCTGCCGAGGGCTTCCATCTGGTTGGATCTTATTTATTTATGTATTTTTTGTATTTATTTTATTTTATTGTTATTTATGTATATTTATCATTTTCGTTCGCAGTTATATATTTATGGAACCCAACCAGACGAGAAAACTATATAGATTAAAAAAATTAAATAGAAATGCATGCAATCAAAATGCTGAGATTTCCAGAAAAGCAGCTACATATACCAGTTTTCAGAAAGCTAAGAGGACTTCAGAGGTTTGACGAAATTGAGTTTTAGACATAATCCCTCTATAAGTTATAATAGTTCCTAAAAGCCACTCTGCATTTTTTCACCGACTTCAAAAAGAAGGAGATGTTCAATTCGACTATGTTCTTGTTTTATGTGTTATCTTAACTTTTCTCTGGTTGACCCGATTTGGCTAATTATTTTTTTTAAATCTGAAAACTGGTGCGTCTCGTGTGGTCCCATACAAATTAAATAAAGATCTGACCAGTAGTTTTACAGTTATCTTTAATAATGCATATTTAATTGACTTCAAATACATTGAATCGGTTGTATTGAAGTGGTTGTACAAAATGAGACTTGGTAAGAAGGGAATAGGAAACACCGACAGCTCCAAGAGAAGAATCTTTTATACTATATAAAACTAAATATAGTTCGGTATTTGATTGGGGGTAGATTTCATACTCCCTTGGTGGGTACCAATTGTTTGAGAAATCACAAACAAATTGAAGGAATGTCTGATTGTCTACATGTCTATGTATGGTATGGTCTGTATGTGGTAGAGCCACGCTGCAGCTATATTAGTAAAATAGTTGTAGCACAAATGGGTCGGCTCGACTGGGTAAGGACCACACTCTCACAGAATACCAGTGTAAAATAGCAACTTAACGCTGCTGTGTTTCGTATGGTGAGTGTAGAGAACTGAGACTCTTTTTACTGGAAAAGAGGCATTCCATCTTAGTCCTCACGGGTGACAATGCATCTGCATTTTGATTTGTGATTGAAGATTGTCATAGATGTTTATGGACCGCGGCAATCACTTAGCATCAGGTGGACTGTATGTTCGTTTGTCACCCTTATCCTATTACAAAAAATACTGCCATACTTGAAAGTGGAATTACATTCAAATTACAAATACAATGACTTACAGCAATTCTACCAGACACAAAGAAAAACACATATCAATTAATAGTTAGCCTTATGTTACCTATATCGAATAAAATCACACATTTAGCCACATTTTATATTTATGTGAAAACTTGGAGATATTTTTTGAAAATCGAAAAATGGATAAAAAACACTCTTTAATGATTATCTTAAGCCTATGTAATGGCACATTAATATATCTAACCCAGGCGAGGACAGGACAGATCGCTAGTGTACAATATAAAAAAGAAAATCTCATCATCACAAGAATTGGATTATTATATTTTCTTAAGGCTAATAAGCCGTTACTATGTTTAAGATTTCATCTGAATTCTATGTCTAATGAGTACAGTTATAATGTTCAATTATAGTTCCATATACGTTCCAGTAAGTTCTTATAGCAAATAATTATTTCCGCATCACTTTTACAAGTACTTTAAGTAGAGACAATTTAAAAAAAGACCTATTATGAGGTTACTTGTTTGAGATGTAAGTTTTGGCTGATGGTGCTTCATATTCCCATATGTTTCAGTATATTCTCTTAATTCTTGCCAGCTTATTGTCCACTAAATATATAGCCTCTACTGACCCTCCCCTGAGATCTAGTGACAATATCTAGTACTCTACTAACTGCAATATTTTATATTTTATTTTGTTAAACATATGGAACCTCTCTTCCTTTCCAACTTTCCTTATATATGTATGTTTTAACCTCATTATCCATTTCGTCATTACATCCCTTCACAAGTCCACTGCTGAACATAGGCCTATATTTATTTATACAATGAAAATTAATTTCAGTTTTATTTAAAATAATGATAGTTGAAGATGTCAGGAAATGAATTGTTCTAATAATGTTGATTGTTTAAATAAATGTGCATGAATAACATGTTCTAGTATAAATTATTCATATAATTTATAGATTTAATTAAATGTTTGTTCCTTATTTTAACTATAGACTACTATACAGAAATTATTGACAATTATTTAATATAATTGTTACTGTTACGACAACAACAACTAATAACATGATCATTTACAAGACCACATGCCTGCATAAATGCATAGCAAGTTGTAGGCCCTACAAACTTAAACCCTCTTTTTTTAAGAGCTTTAGAAAGGGCTGTTGAAATTTCTGTTTCAGTTGGAATTTCATTTACATTTGTCCAGTTGTTAACAATAGGTTCATGATTTACAAAACTCCATATAAATTTTGAAAATTCTTCTCCATTACTTTCCATTTTTCTATAACATTTAGAATTGTGTATAATAGCTTCTAATTTCCCTTTATGTCTTACAATTCCTGGTTCATTTAATAATTTAGTAACATCATTAAAAGTCATCTCTGAAATTTTGTGTGGATTAAAGTTATAAAATAACTGCTGATATTTTTCTCTCTTTTTCAGAATTGTTATCCAAGATAAGCCGGCTTGTTGCCCTTCTAAGCACAACATTTCAAACAGACGAAAATTATTAAATTCTGGTTTGCCCCATTCAGTATCATGATAATTTATGTAAAGTGGATCTTTTGTTGACCAATCACACCTTATAATTTCAAGTTGAAGTGAGTTTTGATTTATTGTTGATTGGGGCATAATATTCCAATATTTTTGGGTAGAACTTCCAGTTTTAAAGTATTTTGTATTAGGCAAAATTACATAAAGAAAGGAATGAAGTAATGAAGATGATTATTATAACATGCTAGTAAAGATGAACCCTGTAACCTG